CCACCTAGTTTCGACTTAAGCTGAGCAATCAAGCGAGCCCTTCGAAAAAATAGGGCGCGCACGCGCCGCATTAGCAGCACTAGGGAAAGTGTGTACCTGATGCACTGTTAAGAGAACCTAGTCTGTTAGTGTGCCGTCTTCGAGCTTATATCGCAACCAATTAAACTTCTCAGACAAGTCTTCAATACTGAAGGTCGTCTATAATTCTGTTATGATGATTACTACTGTGACTCACACGTGCGCTGGAAGTTGCCTGGAATGCGATGTTGTTTCTAGTTAATCAGTTGTTAGTTTATACCAGTCTCGTTTTTTTTTCCTAGGCCGTCGTTCCTTTGTGCCTCCTAGAAGGAGGAAAAGGAGGAAAAGGAAAGAGAGAGATGTAAACCAGTCTGGAGCGACCGGCATGCTACCCTACACTGGGGATAGGGATGAGGGAGTTTGAAAGATTAAAAAAAAAGAGATAGAGGAGAGCTCGCACACGTGTTGGGTTCACAAGTGCTGATGACTCGGAACATAGTGACGCACACTAACTGACGAAAGTCTGAAAAGACGCGGTTCTAGTCCACTGTAGTTGCTCTGAATGATGGATGCTTCCTAGACTTCTTAGAAATGATTGCGATCGTTAGCCATATTTCTACTCGAGCGATTCAAGTACTGGTCTTAAGGCGTCCAGTACTTTGAGAGCACTTCGAGCAGACGTTGTCCCCATGTCCAACAAGATCTCCCGGATGGCATCCATGAGGGAACGAAGCATAGTTATGACTTTGCCATCTTTCTTATGTGTGTCATCAGTGGTTGGTGAAGACCTCTGAGCGGGTGTGGTCTTCTGACATTCTATGGTTAGCGGATGACTTGGACGAATAGGCCATTCCTCTGTAGAGATAGTACTCTCCACAGTCTTCTTTGAACTTGTCGGTCCTGTTGCGCATTGACTTGATGGTGCAGCAGTAGATGTGGCTCTGTCGTTTAGAGCTTGCGCAGTCTTTGAGGTCGAACGATGGCAGCGACGACACTGCCGACGCCGGACTGTTTTGGTAGCATCCCTGTGGGTCGAATTGTCTGTGACCGTTTGCCTAAGCACCACTCTCTCGTTCTCAATTCGAGGACAGTATTTCGATGAGTCAGTGTGTGAGCCATTACAGTTACCGCATTTAAGAAATGTGGATTGACACGCATCTTCCCAATGGGGTTCTCCGCACCGGGGGCACCGTAGCAAGTTCGGGCACACGCCCTTGACGTGACTTGGTTTAAAGCACTGGGGACACTGGAGTGGTGACACTGAAAGATGTGACTCCTAGTTTCTTGCCAGAACACATTAGTGAGCTCCTGAACAAATCCTCTGAGCAGCTCATGCGGATCCTATTGAAGTCTCGATGCCTCGCCTGTGAGGCAGTGCAAGGTACAGGCCATGCTACTCGCAGACAACCTCACGTTTCCATAAAAATTTGAGGAAGTCTTATATGTAGTTGCTCCAATGCAACCTATTTTTTCTATAGTGCAATGTGCGTGAAATGCAGTGCGCAGAATAAACAGAAGCGCCAGATAGCATCCGCTTTATTAATACAAAGCCTGCGCTAAACTGTCCCGAACCCGACCTTTATCAAAACATCCTAGCCCTTCACACCACTCATCCGACAAATCGCCCGTAAAGCTTCTAGCAGCAGGCTTCAAATCAAAACGCGAACGCACACAACGTGAATCTTATCTAACATATCGGTTCAACACCATCACCTGCCACGATAGTGGCTAAGGCACTCGGCTGCTGACCCACAGGTCGCGGGATCGAATCCCGGCTGCGGTGGCTGCATTTCCAATGGAGGCGAAATGCTTGAGGTCCATGTGCTTAGATTTAGGAGCAGGTTAAAAAACCCCAGGTGGTCGAAGTTTCCGGAGCCCTCCACTACGGTGTCTCTCGTAATCATATGGTGGCTCACTCGAACTCACACTTAACGAAGCGTTCCTCAACTGGACTCACTCGTATTCAGATTCACTCAGTTTTTTTTTCAATTGGACTGACTCAGACTTGTACTCACGGCTCATTCTGGGTCTGGATGAGTCTGATTCGACTCATGAGTGAGTTTGCCGACCAGTGTTGCTAATTATCCAGGTGTGCCTCAGGCTCCGCTGTTAGCCCAGCCTTGCACCACTTGTACAAGTTGCCCGACTTTTATTTCCCTTTCTTTTCTTGGTTAAATAAATGTGCATTGTTCAGCTATATCGTAAGTTAATTGTTCAGGTGCGAAGTCTTGTCCAATCTCACAGAGGGAATATGCGCCGTAGTGTTGAGGAAAGAAAGAAAAAAAAACAAGAAAAGAAACAAGAAAAAGAAACAAGAAAAAAAGAAAGAAATAAAAAATAAAATAAAAAACAAAGAGACGGGAAAAGCCGACAGCGAATGCCTCCCGGGTGGTCCATTTAGGGGTACCGTCTACGCGCGGGCCATTAAAGCTCCAATCACCGGGCGTTGATTCAACCCCCAGGGTCCCCTATTCCCTGGCTCAGCCCCGTATGGCCAGATGCGAGCTTGAATCGAAAGACTCCGGCTAGCTTGTTTCCTCGGCGACGCAACTCGGCAAACGCATGCAGAAACAGACGCTTTGGCCGAGATCATTTCAAGACTGTCAAGAGGGGCATAACAGAAACGTTCTTCATATAATTAGGTGGAGTTTACAGGATCAGTAAACACGTTTTAAAGAATGCGGCTATCTTAACTACTCGTTAAAGTCACCAACAGAAAGGCTGTTCAAACAAGAACTGCCGAGAAGAGGTCCCCCAGAAGATGTGGGAGTTAGCGGCCCTGACCTGTTGAAAGCAGCTGCAGCCCGGTATATTCAGCAATTACCCACAGCCTGAAAGAGATATGACGCCTAAATGACGTAGGAGTTTTTTCTACGGCTTCGAATAAACTACAAAGGCTATGAAAAACTGACGACCTGGTACAGACAGAAATACCTGTCTGTGATGAGAAGTACGACGTAGTTTGTTGTATAAACGGTTGATGATGTCCGCCGCTTTTCGGTATCTGGCGGTCGATATTATACTATAGACAGTGCATCAGTAAATACTACAAGGAGTACTGAAACAAGTTGCGTTTGACAATGGTTTTACAGATGCTCTCTGCAAAGCATATGCATGCCGGTCTCTCCTAAAAGACAACGTCAGTGTTAACAGAAATAGACTAAAATCTGTCAAAAGTAGCCGACCCATTTCAGTGGAGATAGCATCTTTCCATCACTGAGTGCTTGCCGCGTTGATTTGCGGTGAAATTATACAATGGGCAAGAAATATGTACACAGAACAAAAGTAGTCCATGCGAAACACGTTCATTATCTCTGGTCTCTTTTTGTGGATTTACTCTAAATGTTAAATGACTCTAAATGTTATCTACCGGGCAGTTATTCGTAGAGATGAAAGTTCTGTCGACGAACGAACGGCGTTGCATAATGGAACGCCGATAAAAGACAAAATGCGTTATTGCATCAACATCAAATGACTTCATTACAATGTAAACCCGAAAGCGGACATCGGATGCAGTTATGTGTACCTTCGTGCCGAATCATGGCGCCGAGGACTTGCGATGGCCGTGTGGTTTTCCAGCGTGAGAAAGTCAAAACGTCGAACCCTATGCGGCTTCTTCAAGAATAATGGCTTTACCAACCTGCTGCTCTACGTGATATGCCAGCGTCGTTGTGGGCGCCCGGTTTCCAAGCACGCAGAACGTGGTCATTTGAAAAGTGAACTGTATATGCGATATTATGTCCTTTTTTGTACCGTATCTATTTCCAACACTACACTTCGAACCCTTAAATGACGATGAAGATAATGTCTTGAAGCTGATGACAGTATATGCAGACGCAGAAGGTGCGTTCGCTGGGATGGCATTTGCTATTTCACTAAAGTAAAACAGCATAAGACTAGCGGGATTGCTCGAAGAATATGACCATCATCCCATTGTAAGACATTAACACGTCACGTAGAGACTTCCATCTCGTTAAAATGCATGCCGAACAGCTCTAAGAAACATCAAGCACACTATAATCTGCAATGCTACAATAAGAATGCCTGAGCAGTAGATCGGTATACTGCTCAGCCAATGCCTACAATACCAGCTCCAATGGTTCAAGGCACAGCCTGCGCGTCGGACAGACAAAAGAGCTGTAAGGGACTAGCCTAGCTTCCTCCTCTCAAGTCGAAGCGAAGCCCTCGAGTGAAATGTAAAGCAGGTGCAACCTAATTCTGTCTAGGAGGCATTGCCTAATTAATACCAGGAACGTGTGGGAGGGTGTTTCCGTCGTTAACCGTCGTCTTGTAATTCATCGTGCGATTTTTATGCTTGTTGTAATGGTTTTCTTTATTTAAACAAACACTGAGCTCGACGCGGTATGCCTGATTGCAAAGAAATATGTTCCGTTTGCTTTCAAGGATTAAAAGGGCCCTAAGACTCGAAATGTAGTTGTGGAGTTGCAGTTATGCCAGAGTCTACAGCGAATGCGTTCGTTGGCTCGTCTGCCCGCCTCTCCGAATGCCCTTCCTCGGCGTCGAAATTGAAAACGCAAGGAGTGCGCGCTTCTGTTAGCAGAAGAGCACGCAAACGTCTGTTAGAAGTTTAGGGTCCCTTTTAACCTGTCGTTTTGTGTTAGCGCCGCGAAATTTTCTCTCCAATGAGAGGTATACAGCTTTACCTTAGAAATGAAAATTAACGATCACCCATTGGCACACACACACACACACACACACACACACACACACACACACACACACACACACACACACACGCACACGCACACGCACACGCACACGCACACACACGCACACGCACACACACACGCACACACACACACACACACACACACACACACACACACACACACACACACACACACACACACACACACACACACACACACACACACACACACACACACACACACACTTTTTTAACCCTTGGGCCACCTGCACCCGATCGGCAAAAGCGATGTGCCAATATGCTTCAAACTGACCGTTCTGTCGCCCAGCTGTCGGATCTTGCAGTGCAGGAAGGCGGACTTTCCCAGCTGCTGCGGTGACGTTCCGTTCGGTGCTGTTGTCGAAGCGGGGCCTGAAGTGGGGGTCGTCCCAGTACGCAGTCGGCCGGGACGGAGGCTCGCCGCTGCTGCCCCCCACGCCGGTCACCAGCGACGCGATGCCTGGCGGGGGAGGGGCGGACGCCGGGACGCCCGAAGTCTCCCGTCGGTCGCTCGGCGCCGAACGAAAGTCGCGCTCCATGCGGGTAGCCTCTGACGCCCCTGCGCAGCGAGGAAAAAAATCGAATGTGTCATTTTGCGTCTGAGTAATCGTAGACATCGTACGTTGAATTCAGCGCTTCACACAAACATTGACTGCAAGTAGGTCTGAGGCATGCCGTGTCCAAAATGGCTAAATGTCATTATAATATGCCACGCATTGTTACTTCCTGAGATTAGCATATGTGAGATGCACTCGTAGTCAAACACATTCACTTCAGAACCTTTTTTTAGAATAATTGATGTAACAATTGGTAACAAGTAGAGGAAAACGAAAAACGCAGAAGAAACAAAAACAAAACTGAAGTATGCTGATAGTGCAGCCTAGAGGGTGTGGATTTCGAGTCCTCGTTGGCGGCAAACTCCAACACTGCAGCAGCTAACGCTGAAGTCGGCGAGATGACGTATTTAGGGACGAAATGATCGCAGCTCTCAACTAAAGGGGGCGAACCTTGAATGAAAATCACAGCAACGCCGGGAAAGCCTTAGCGGTGCGATCGTTCAAGGCTCAGAAGTAGTACGTACCAAGTCACCAAAAATAATAAATAATGTATCATCGCCACAAATCTTGATGCACAACCAAAGTATTATAGAGCAGGTAACCAAAGCGTTCATGCAAAAGTACACTCGAACATGACTATACGGAACTCCGATAAATAGAATTATTCTTTATTTCAAACTACTTTAGAAGACGGCGATGCTTTGACGTCAATGCACAAGAAACTCTACGATTACATCGAGCAAAAAAAAAAAAAAAACTGGAACACTTGCTATATCTAATAATGGGGAGCACCAAACGCTCCAAGAGGTTGGCTTTCTGTCACAAATTTCTGGCTTCTCCTCCGGTAGGGGAGTTTTCTTTGTGCATTTCAGAGAGTGACAAGTGAGATTAGGATGATGAAAACATGTATTATTATTCGAATGCAAAGAAAAAAGTGAAGGGTCCCTATTTCAGGACACCTATGAGAACCTCTTCGACAGCCCGGACGCGCGAACGAGCTCCCGACGGACATAGGGGGCACAAAAGGGTGCCTTCTTACTGCTGTCGAGTACGGGGGACCGAAGGACTGGTGTGAGAAGGAAGAGGGGGGGGGGGGGGGCGTAGGCAGCGGTGCGCTCTACGGTGACGTGAAAGATTGTGGGAATAGCGCCACATCATGGACAGGCATCGGTGTAACGAGTTGGGTATATTTCATGCACTGAAGTGCAGATTCGGGAGGTCACTGCGCGGAACCCTCCCAAATGAAATGCTTTCCTCAATTAAGACTCTGCTTAGTACTGCAAGTCTTCAGTATAGCGCTTGCCGCCACGTGCTTTCCGCCACGATTTCTCGTGCTCACATCACTGGCCCGTTCGCACGAGGCCACCGTTCCCCTGATCAGGTTCTCTTTGTTAGCGCAATAGACGTTTTTCTCTAGCGGTACAGATACTGTTGAACGCGCGCGAACGGTGCGTCAGCGCTGGTTGCAGCTTAAGCACATCTGGGTGCGATATTGGAAAAGAATGCTGACATTAGCGGCAAGGCAGAAACGCTTCTAGCGCCCGCCAACTTATGAAGGTTTGGAGGTGCTGTTTTCAACGACGAACGTATCTGCTCCTGTATATGCCAACCCTGTCTATTAGCCCCGAGAAGTTGTAGTGGCGCCTCATAGTGGGAGGCCTGAGTGACGTCAGGGCAAGGACTCTTCGATGACCGCCGCCGCGCGCCTACATAATGATGCGCTCGCTTCGTGCGCCGTTCCGCTGTTTGCGTTCGCTTTCTGCTCGTCTCAAGCTGCATATGAATGGCGAAAACAGAATCGATGACGTTCTTGGTAAAACAATAAATGTTTTTTTTTATCGAAATAGAAAATAAAGGAAGAAGTTTTGTCACCATTACTTGGCGGCGGCTACCCCTTTCCGCATGTTTATTTTTGCTTCCCAATCGTCCGCTCGATCGTAGGCAATGTGTAAGGAGTGAAAAAGTCTGTGCCGCGCTGCTAACCCCGATGATGGATTGCAATCCTGGCTACGGCAGTCGCTTTCCAATGGGCTTCAGCATGAACACATTTCTGCTCGAATACAACAAACTCATTGGCGCATAATCAAGTGATTTTGAGACGCAAGGCACAATATTTACATTATTAGGTTGAGCTTTTCTTGGGTGATTCCTATAGAAGGTATGAGACTTTGCCCTCCTCTAAGGTTATTTGTACTTGACGAATCGACGTATTTACGGACACTGCTTTCGCTAGTGTGCCCGCAATACCCGTGCTTGCGTGCATTATCGAGTCTCGCAAAATATCTCGTATGCGCTCGGCTTAGAATACCACCTCGCTGTTGCATGTGTTTTTCTCGTGTACTTGCTCGCTCGACACGCTGTTCAGTTTCATGTTTCTCTCGCAATAATTTGGACGTTCATCTTACCGAAATCATTGAAGTTATGTGCGGAAATTTTCATTGCAATCAGATTCTGTCTTCGTGCAGGATTGTAGCAACGGTGCTGTTGCACTCGTAACTACCAGTTTAGATAGCCACCTCATAAATTGATTTTCATCATGGCTGATTACCTGTGCGTGGACATGACTTACGAGACGAGTCATTGCCTCATCGAGGCGAAGGTTGTTCAGTTATTACATGGGTCGCGTCGCTGACTGCGCCGTGGAAAATGTTCATTTTGACTCCCTGGCGTTTGTGTTGGAATCATTGCTATCAGCGGTGCTTCATGGGAAGTGCACATTACTGTTTGTGATGCGGTGGTGGGTCATGCCAGCATTTCACAAAAATCAGTGTATACGAGTACACACAACTTCTGGCCACTGTTGAGGAGAAACATGCACGTATGATTTGAGTAAACGGACATATCCCAACATTTCCGAAACCGTTATATGCGGCAGTATAATTTATAATATTTACTGAATATGTGTGAGTGAGAACAAACTTTACTTCAACGTGATAGTCCGTAGTTTAATCCCGGGTGGTACAAACTTTCACGGTAAAACACAATGTATTTAGTGAGTTGGAAACATCCCAATTTCAATTGTGATACTTCGGCACACATATTTTGTCATCCCGGAGTCTATGCCTAGTTGTAATCACGTGAGCATCATTTAGCATGTTTTCCCATAGCACCCATTTGTTGGTGCCACGCAACGAAAACAACAATTTTCACAGCGAATCCGCCCTTCGGACGGAAGTCTGCCAATATAATAAGCTAAATTACGCAAACTTTTTGCAGTCTCGGAAGCTTTCACTAGTTACGAAACGTTTCAGTTTGTATCTTCAGAGATTTCCGTCACGCAACGAAGGAGTAATCACCAACGTATCGCTAAAGAGTGGGCGCGTGGCAGCCGCAGAAAATGGAGACAAGCGGTGGCGGAGAAGATGAGTCCTTGCCGTGCCGTCGTCGCATCGCCGTGACCACAGAGACGCCAGTGTTCGTTCTCGGGGCTAAAAACCCCAAATCCCCAACTACAAAAGCGCGTTAAAGTAAAAACAAAAGCAAACCCGGCTGAAACACGGGTGATGCGTCTTCTATGGACCCCTGCGTCTTCTCTGGACCCCAATAAAGTTTTCATCATCGCCATCCTGCCTCAAAAGCGTGCTGCTTACATTATTGTGAAGCAGTGACGTGTAGCCAACTTGTGCTCCAATTTTTGCACGTAAAAAGCAAAAAAACCCAATTAAAAGCTGTATATCGAATTACCCTCGATCTATAGCTTCTAATTAGGCTTTAATTAAATCAGCCCGTATCAAAACTGGATGTTCTTTTTTTGTGCGAGTTATATGCGAGTTCGGCTGTGTTTGGTTTTCTTTTTCACGTCAAAAGCTCGCAAGCCTTATTGTTAAGGCCAAGAGCTGTGAAAATGCTTTCTTTGGACACACATACGGCGAGCTCGTCATAATTTTAAAAGCAAGCAAGTAAAGCTCGAGACCATTGCGCTCCGCGACCCGTGGAGCTGTCGTCGCTGTTCTCAGCGGATTCCCCTCTCCTCTATACAGCGTTGCGCACCAGCTGTTCGTGCTTGATCGCCCGGGCTTTGAAAGACCGGCGATGCGAATTGATGGTGCCATAAAACTTGCTATTGAACGAGCTGGTGTTGAATCACGCACGGCGTTTCAAGCGCAAAAGTGGGACGTAAAAGAACCATAGGAAAGAAGAAGGATACAGTGCGCGGGACGAGCGCTAAACATGGACTGTTGTTATTTCAGAAGATACCACAGAAGGTGGCCGCGTAAGCACATACGCACAAACTATGGACCGCAACTACTACAGTATTGCCTACGGAATGCTTTAAGTAAACCGAAACTAACAGATGACATTACGTATGAGGCCTAAAGATTAAATGTTAAGTATGGTGTGTTTCAATGTTTTGTTTTCTAGCGTAAATAAATCTTGAGTGTTTGTGTTTTCGCTTTCAGCATTGCGAGTTCGAATGTTTGCCTCAAATAAAACTCTTCTTATACTTCAAGTCTTCTTATACCACTACTCTTCTTGTAGCGACGTTTTCTATCCTTTAAAAATACATAAGATGCAAAAAAGTTCATTTGGTTCATCTATGAAGTGCCTTTTGGTACATCAACTGCAGGTTTGCATCTCATAAGCTTTATCACTTTGGACTAAGTGCCAGTTTTAAATTTGATAATAAATAAAACGTATGGTGTTTTGAGAGATTTCTTTTCTGTGAGTCCGAAAAAAAAAAGAAATAGAGAGTTAGGTCGTACGAAAAGGTGTGAAATGGATGGTACAAACCGCACGTTTTAACTCTTCAATTCAACGCTTGTTCCTTGCGTTTTGGCTTCTAAATCATTAAGCATCAACTAAATTTGATCTATTTTTTTGTGCGACAGGCGTATTTTACATGAAATTAGTAAGCGCATGCGCACGTGCATATGTGCATTTTAAGTTACTAAATGTATATAATATTCCTTCTGACGCTTGTTGATCTTTTGTTATTAATGTCTTTGTTTCCAAGCGATGTATCTCTTTGCAACGATGTGCCACTTTCTTTTTCAA